TCATGTCATATTTATTTATGATAATACATTAAAAATGTTAATTCTGCGCTTAATTTCTTTTCATTAATTCACAAGAAATATTTTAAATATTCAATATAAATATCTCTCTCGCCTTCAGCCTAAAAATTTAATTATATACCAAATAAGTATGTAGATAGTAAACATCAAGAGAAATCATTTTTGCTCTCCTCATTCTCTTTCTAAATATATATTCTTGACATGCCATTAGCCTGATTGCATATGACATTGCTTACACACCCACTTGGTTACAGGGTATGCATATAATAAATAGCATTCGAATAAAAGCCCCGCTTCCATTATTGAGGTAATCAGCAAAGCAAATAAAATGACAACTGAGTGCCTTGGGCGAGGGTGGGGGGAGGACGTCGAGTCTTCTATGCTCATAAATCTAAGACGTCCAGGTGAAGTAGCTGTTTAATTGCTTTTCAAAGCCCAAACTGGGGAAATCTCGTACAGCAGCAACTGCGAAGATTTATGTTATGATAGGCATCATTGAGTCGTCAAGGAGGGCGACAACTCAGACACCTAAAAAGCATTGCATACTATTAGGCACCGTAATCTAAAATCACATGGACAGGCCTTGACAGGATGGGGAGATGTGTGTGGGTGTGGGTGTGGGGGTGGGGCTGGCTCTGCTGTGATGCTGTGATGTAAGGGACTGGGGCCTAAACAGGCTGAAGTGGACATAAGCTGCCATTAGGCAGCCATAGAGCACCGCAGGACACGAATCCTGTTGTTTGCAATAGACATCCGCTTGGCCTGTGTGCCTGCGTCGTTAATGTTTGCTCCTCGGTCTGCCTCACGTTTCATGGGGGCCCATTAGAGCATCATTTGTCTCGACAGCGCTGACAAAAAGAATATGAATAGGAATGGGAATGGGAATGGGACACCAGGTTGGGGCTCGTGTGTCCCCAGGTGCTATCGTTAATTAAATGCATTTTATAATTGAAATTCGCTAAGCTGAATGGTGGAGTGGCTCAGTGGCTGAGTGGTTCAGTTAGTTGTAGTGTGGGTAAAGTGGATCTGGCAATTGTCTTGTTTGCATTGATAATGGGCATATATTCTGCTGAGCTGAGGCCAAGGGAAAATTAAGTGATTTAAGGCAGAAGGAGAATCAAGTTTAGTTGGCTATAAATTAAACTGGATTCTAAAATCCATTTCATCTGAAATTCATTTTAACAATTAACTGCAATTAAACTGCCAGCATGAGAAAGAAAAGCAATTTTCCAACAATCATGTTTTTCCTTAGCTTTTCAGAACGTAAACAATTTTGATCCCTTCCATTTAATTTCTCTAAATAAATTTGGCAGTTCGAATAATGTTGGTTATTTATCAAATTCATCTTAGATATGACAATATGAATGGCTTAGCATATTTTCAGTTGAATTTCCAGCGAAACGAACAATGAAAATGAAAAGCAAAACATGATTATTTCTATATAAAGTATTTCTAGGAATTGCCCCATGCAAATTGAATGCCAAGATTAGGCTGTTGGCAACTTCAATTCTGCCCAAATTGCTTTATTGATGGTGAAATAAATTATGAATTAAATTTTAAGCATGTTTAGAGCTCTTAAATTATTTCATCCAATTCTTTTCAGTTGAGCTCACCTGATTCTTTTTCATATTTTGTTAATTTGCAAGCAA